TTAATATCAAACGAATAAAAAGATTAAAAAGAGACAGGATTCTTCAAAATTATAAGGGAGATTTATCGAAAGTGTGCGAGTCTTGTGTGCAAAGAAAACTAATAAGAAAAAATACCACCAGGGCAAAAAGAACTACTAGCGTATTGGAAATCATTCATAGTGACATATGTGGACCTATAAATGTGACCACCAAAAGTAGAAAAAGATATTTTATCTCTTTTATAGATGACCACTCTCAATATGGCCATGTGTACCTTATTCTTGCAAAATTAGAAGCCCTAGAAAAATTCAAAGAATATAAGGCCGAGGTAGATAATCAAACCAACCTGAAAATCAAAGTTCTTAGAGCCGATAGAGGAGGGGAATATTCATTTGACATATTTAAAGAACTCTGCGTTGAAAATGGAATTATCCATCAATACATCATGCCTTATACTCCTGAACAAAATGGTGTAGATGAGAGATGTACTAGGACTTTAGTTGAAATAGTAAGGAGTATAATGGGGCATGCAATTTTCTCTTTAGACTTTTGGGGAGAAGCCATATTGACGACATGTTACATCCTTAATCGGACTCCCACAAAAGCTACCCAATTTACTCCTCACAAAATTTTCACAGGTCGTACTCCTTCCCTTGAACACTTGAGAGTTTGGGGTTACTCAGCCCATGTCCTTATCCCACATCAAAATAAAACCAAATTGCAACCGAAAACAATCAAATCCATTTTAATTGGTTACCCAGATCATGGTAAGGGGTATCGATTCTACAACCTTAAAACAAGTGCGCTTATTGAAAGCCGCGATGCTCACTTCTTCGAGAAAGAGTTCCTTGAAGCAAGGGTGATTAGAAAACAAGCCGACTTTTATGAGGAGGCCCAAAACAAGGATGTAATCCGAGACCCTGAACCTGAAACTTCTAAACCAACCCAACCTGATCCTGAACTCCCTATAGAAAGTGAACCTTTACCTGAACCAAGACGAAGTAACCAAGTCAGTAGACCACCTTTTTACCTAGAAAAATTTGTCTACCTTGGAGAACATTTTGATAAGGTTAAGGAAGATCTAGATTTAGAACCTAAAACTCATCATGAAGCCTTGACCTATCTTGAAAGGGAATACTGGGTAAAAGTCCTGAAAGATGAGTATGCTTCCATTAATAAAAACTATGTATGGGAATTAGAACATCTACCTTATAAACGTAAGGTCATTGGTTGTAAGTGGATTTTTAAGAAAAAGTTGAACTCTGAAGGGAAAATAGAAAAATACAAAGTTAGATTGGTTACAAAGGTTTTCACCCAGAAATAATGGATAGATTATGATGAAACTTTTTCCCCTAGTGCCAAATTTCTGTCCATCCGAATCCTTATAGCTATAGCCGTCCATTTTGACTTTGAGGTTCATCAAATGGATGTCAAAACAACCTTTCTAAATAGGGATTTAGAAGAAAAAATTTACATGACCCAACCTGAGGGATTTGAGGACAAAGGGAAAAAAAACCTAGTATTCAAACTTAATAAATCCCTTTATGGCCTGAAACAAACATCGCGACAATGGTACACAAAATTTCAAGAGACCCTTGCTCTTATAGGGTTCTCTATAAATAATGAGGATTATTGCATATATCAAAAAGTCAGTGGGAGTGATGTGGTCTTTATATCGTTATTTGTGGATGATATGCTAATTGTTAGTAGCTCAATTGCCTTAGTAGTAGAAACGAAAAAATTTTCTTGTACAAGACTTCGATATGAAGGATCTTAGAGAAGCTTTATATGTGTTGGGCATCTAGATAATAAGAAACAGGAGAGAGAAGACTATCCAACTTTCCCAGGTGACCTACTGTAAGCGGATACTGAAAAAGTTTCATATGAATATGTATGAGCCCTTGTCAACCCCAATGGACAAAAAAATGAAGCTTAGTAATAAAATGTGTCCGACCGAAGACATAGATATAAGAGCCATGGAGAGAGTACCATACAGGAGCGCAGTTGGGTTCCTTATGTACGTCATGACAGGAACAAGGCCTGACTTGTCATTCATCATGAGTCTGGTGAGCCGTTTCTAAAGCAATCCAGGAGAGGAGCGTTGGAAAGCATTAAAAAGAATTCTCAGATATTTAAAAGGGACCACGAACTATGTGCTCACATATAAAGGGGGAACTGAAATAGCAATAAAGGAATATTCAGATGCAAGCTATCTCGCAGATCCAGATGATGCGAAGTCTACATCTGGGTATGTGTTTATGCTTAGAGGGGGTGTGGTTTCTTGGAAGTCAAAGAAACAAGATATTTTGGCTTTGTTCACCATGGAATCCGAGTATGTGGTATGTTGTCTAGCAGCCAAGGAAGCTGTATGGATTAAGAAGTTTCTTAATCAAGTTAATTTCCATCCTATACGTTGTGAGGCGATGCGAATTTTTTGCGACAACACGGCAGCTATTTGTGTCTCTAAGGAGCCTCTGTTTCACAAGATGTTCAAACATATCAAGTCATACTTCTATCACCTGAGAAATGAGGTGAGATTGAAAGAGATCGAGATCAGTTACATTTACAATTTGATGATTGCAGACCCTCTGACTAAGGGAGTTGTCCCTAATGTTTTTGTGAGACATGTGAGAGAGATGGGGATGATAGAAAGTGAGGAAGAGAGAATATAAGGCCTTCAAAGGCCAAGTGGGAGATGTTGGGTTTATGTGGCCTTTAAAGGCCTTATGAGTGTGTAATGAAAAACATTTATTATAGTGGAACATAAACTTAGTGGGAGTGTGGTCCCTCGATGACCATACTAAGCAAATGATGTTTGCTGATATCGGACTGTGCTTGACGATTTAGGCCAGTCGGTTGGAAAACCCAAGGTACCTGAGCATAAAAAATAAACGAAGAACGGTTTTTGGGTTGGCCCTTGAGAGGTCAGACTTTATGCCTAGACGAGTGAGCCGAGGGACTGTGTGACCTTTGTGTGTGATGGTAGGCCTACAGAGACGGGGGTCAAAACCTCATTCATGATCCATCACACGGCATGCATATAGATAAATCGTTTGGGAAAGCCAAATATCCACCTTTGGGTGAAGCGTATGCATGTGCGAGATATAACTCTATACGTCATAGAGCTGTGGTCGCATCAAGTCGTGGTGACCTTGACTTTTCTCTAGGGGAAGACCTGTAATCCACAAACTGGGATCGCCACTCCTTGACTCATCGACCAGACTTTGGTGACCCGCTAATGAGCCCCTGCTTGGACTGTGGGTCATGAGAAATACTGTGTTGGTTCGATAAAGTAAGTGTGGTTTGTAGTCCACAGTTGAAGGTGGAGTACCCTGTGATCGTTGATAAAATTCCTGAACCATATGGATCCACTTCCCATCATATTAATTTAATTTTGTTCACTTTATTATAGAAAAATTATTTTAGATTTATTATTTAAATTTTTATGAATCTTTCAATATTTTATTTATGACTTTTGGAATTATAAAAATAAAGTTATTGATTTTACAAATTATATAAAATTCAAATAATGTTTAAATAAAATTTTAAAATATTTATAAAATTTTCATGGGGGCCCACATATGCCAGATATGGGTGGCACGCCCCACCCATTGCTCCCTTTGTTACTACTTTGATATCAAGTTTTGTAATTTTTGGAAAGGCTACCTTATAAGCATAGGGTCAAATATTGTTTGGGAAATATTGACGATATATTATCTTGATTATTAAATGAATATCTTGACTTGATATTATAGAAATATTCTTATGGAAAACATGAGATGGATTATGCAATTTTATAGAATGCATGATATTTTAATAGATTTAAGTTATTTAAATACATTGATGGGAAAATTGGTTTATGGAAAGCGGGATAGTAGTTCATGCACATTCCATCATGTTGATGGCCCATCTATGGAATGGATGGTTCAGATCTCTCACCCCACAAGTCACATTGATCAACGATCCATATTCAATCTCAATAAAAAGGCAGACTATGGGAAACCTTAAAGAAACCCTAGACCTAAATTTCAATATAAATAGGGGTGCTCTCCCCCATCTCTACATACCTATCTCTCTCCCATAACCCCTCTCTCTCCTCCCTAGGGATCATGCCCCTCTCTCCTCTCAAGCTTTCTCTCTCTAACCACCCCTCTCTCTTACGACCCATAGGGGGCATGCCCCAACCCTAGGTCTCCTTCTCTCTCTCTCTTAACCTAAAGATACTAAGGGTTGGGAAAATTAGGGTTTGAGCCTAATAATTTTGAAGTTAAGGTTTTATAGATATTTAAAGGTGGTTATCTAGTTTGGCTAAAATTAGCTTTCCCAGTTCGAGATTGAAGCTAGACTGCTGATCACGCGTCATTGGATGTGGTGACTCGGTGTGGGGTGTAATAAACCCGATTGAGGTAATCTACGACATCTTCTTTTTTACTTACTTGCTATTTTATTTTATTCTCAAGCATAGTATTAGGTTGTATAAATGGCATCAAGTGGTTGAGTTTATTTTATTGTTGTGATGTTTTATTTTTGAAATATATATTGATTGTAATAAGACCATCTGTAGTGGTCTTTTTACCAAAATAAAAAAGGGGCGATTATTATCATTAAAGATAAAAAAAAAATTGTATTCCCTCCAAAAATATCACATAGGTGTTTCTTTCCCTGCTCTCCCTATTTCTTAATTCATTTTCTTTCTCTCTCTTGTTGGTGAAAGTCAAAACTTCATGGATTGTAAGATTATGGTAATTCAAGTACCGTAATAAAGGTTGGAGATCTTACGGTATTCTAAGTGTCATATAAAGTGCGTTAAACATTACCGTAATTAAATTACCGCAATGATGCTTTACGGTACTGTAAAAGTTATTTTAGTCCAAAAAAGAAATTAAAATTAAAATTGAAAAAAAAAAGGTGTGGACGAAGTTTATGAAAGATAAAGTTTTTTTTCTTCTAATTAGACGAAAATTAAGATATATTTATGATAATTTTCTTTTATTTATAATATTTTAGTTTTTAGGCCTTTCTTGGGCTCGAATGCTACTTAGTGAGTCCGGATACTCGGGGTCATCAGACTTACTCAGCTTGGGCACAGCCTAAATCCCAAGCCTAGGCCGATTAATTAAGCCTTGAACCTGATAACATAGCTAAAGCGTGCTCGAACCAGTAATAGGGCCAGGTTGGTGCTCGAACCAGTAATAGGGCCAGTTTGGTCCTACTCCGGTACCTGTTCTCAGCCTCTGCCTCAAAGAGTCCTGGGCCGTGCCCGGGCCTAGCCAACCGGAACTACTGCGAGGGCAAAGATGGAGAGTAGAAAATCATAATGCATTTTAACAACGTCCTCTTTCTCCTTAGGTTCTCTTTTGGGTACAAAATCGGCTTTGCCATGCCAACAATTCAGGAGAAACATATGCCAATTTAAGCATTGCTCTTACTCCTCTTCAGTCGCTCCAATGCATCCGTAAGGAAATGCGCCACCGATTTGTATCCCATTTCCCGAGCTTCAAAAGCAAAATTGACATAAAAAATCATCATCATTAAATTACAAAAAAAAAAAAATAAATAAATCTTTGTGAGATGGGGAATGGCTCCAAAATCCAAACCTCTAAAGATGGCAATTCCAGTGGGGGCGATGTTGCGTTTCTTCAAGCAAAAGGAACTGTCGACAAAAAGAAAATTCATGGATTTTAAGACCTTGGTAGTTACAGATGATCCTATCTCTAGTGTTTTTAAGTTTTACAAAAGTGGAGCACAAACCCTGACAATATATTTATTTGATAACTAAATTTCAACTCATATCCAGCAATAGTGAAGCTGACACATGCAAAATTAGAGCTTGATACTTGGTATTCAAGAATTCTACATCCATAATAAAGCATAGCTTATAGGAATACATGTTTAGTGTTGTATTCATTAGCTCAGTTGTACCAATTTCAGCATAAGGTCACCCAATTTTATTCCATGTCTTGTTCAAACATGGAGTATAAATTGGCTTTCTCAATTGATATTTAAACTTTTTTAGTGCAATACGGTTGGGATGTGATGCCAAAATCACTCCGATATGGCATTCTCTATTTCACGAGGGGTATTTTCATCGTAGAAAATTGACCTTTTATAGAGGCATATGAAGTGAATTTTAGAGAGAGAAAACAAAAAAGAAAAGTATAGAGAAGTTTGGATGATTGAAATTTATGCACAAACCCTAACAGAATTATAGCCTCATATTAGGCCGGTTTTTCATCGGTATTTCTTCTCAGGGACGGAATTGGTCGACGGTGACGAAGAGATGAGTCGATTGATAATGGTATTGCGGTATGAACTATCTATTTATTTATTTTTTTTATAAGGTAATATCTACAAAACCCCAAACTTATTTCTTCCATTCATAATGAAGGCATCCATATCCCTTGCATGTAGATGTAGCCCATTTTGAGTGAACTACATAAATGTGAGTATGTCATCTACTTTTGTTTGTGTTGTAGTTTGGTGATTTCTCATTTTACTTTTTTTATAATTTTCTTAAATATATTGTACATATTATTGTTATTAGGTATTTTGTTTGGGTATTGGAATCATTGTTGTGAAGTGCTCACCACATCAAGTAAGGATTTGGGATATCCCGATTTGCCGGTATCAAAGCTCAAGAAAGTGTAATATTTTTGAAAAAATAGCAAGTCACGAGTTTGGGGTGGAAAAGTTTAATGGGAAAGATGATTTTGAAATTTGAAAATTAAAATTGCAAGATTTTATTAGTAAACCAAGGGCAATACAAGGCATTACTTGGAAAATATAAGAAACTGGTAAATATGATCGATAATGATTAGGAGGAAGTTGATATGCAGGCACAGGCCACTATTCGTTTGTGTTTGACAAATGAAGTGTTGTTTAATATTGTTTGGGAAAAGATGGAAAAAGATTTGTGAAAAAAATTAGAAAGTTTGTATCAAACAAAACCTCTTTCGAACCAAATTTTCTTCAAAAGAAAATTGTATTCCTTGATAATGAAAAAGGATGCAAAAGTGTCAGAATATTAGAATGAATTTAATAATATATTTTGTCAACTTAAGAGTATTGGTATGAGAATAGAGGAAAAAGATAAGGCGATCACCTTATTTTGTACATTGTCATAATCCTATTATAACCTTGTTACTAAATTGAGTTGTAGTAAAGAAGATTCTCTTGAGTTTGGCTCAATTTGTAGTGCGGTTCTTACTAATGAACTTCAAAAGAAGGCATCGATGGATGATTCAATGGGTTCAAAGATAGATGTCCTAATGGCAAAAGGCCAGTTAGATGAACATATTAGTTCATCAAGAGATTCCTCAAGTAACCAATTAAAGTCAAAAGAGTCTTATAACAAAAGTTGTTGGTTTTGTAGCAAATGTGGCCACATAAAGCCAAATTGTTGGAAAAAAAAAAAGAGGCAAAATTCCTCAAAATGTTTCAATTCAGGAATAGAAGGGCAAGGTGAGGCCAAGAATAATGCTCACCAAGTTGAAGAATTAACACCCAGGTATATTGAAAAAGAGGTGTTGATGGTGGGATGCAATCCCATTTACTATAATAGTTGAGTTCTTAATAGTAGAGCCGCACATCATATGTGCCCACATAGATCGTGGTTTGATGCATATAAGTCATGTAAAGGCGGTTTGGCATCAATGGGAAACAACTCAATGAACAAGACAATTGGTGTGAGCTCGGTTTGCATAAGGATGTATAACAAAAGGGTCTGAACTTTTGAAAATGTGAGGCATGTGTCATATTTGAATAAAAGCATAATTTCACCTTCTTCTTTAAATATGGAAGGCTACAAATTTACTGAGCAAGGTGGAGTGCTCAAAGTTATAAAGGGGCCTCTAGTAATCATGAAGGGAATCTGAGAAGGAAACTTGTAAAATTATTAGGGACACAATTATAAATGAAAAGATAAATTTGGTTGTAGAAGAAGAAGAAGCTCAACAAGGGGCACATTGTTTGACAATAGAAGATCTTGGTGGCACAAAGCAAGGTCTTGATAAGGATATTCGACAAGGTAGAGAAATTGAAAATTTAGGACTTGCACAAAGGGATGTGAAACTGAAAACACCACATAAATTCCTTTTGGGCTAATGTTCAAAATTTGGTGAAGAAAGGGCCGATGTGATTAGAGAGTTGCATGCTACTCTAATCTTTATTTTGATTATTGTCATGATTTTTATAAGATTTGTTATTTCACTTGTTTGTGGTTTCTTTAATTGGCTTATGTTTTAGCCTAAAAGAAACTTTTGGAATGGGTACTTCAAAATTTAAGAAGTATGGGCAAGCATTGCCAAGGTTATGAATTACACTTCGTAGGATAGACTTATGTAAGGGATCTCGGTGACATAAAGATCAAGTACCAATTGTGTTTGTAGATGTTGGGAACTGAGGCTACCTCGATTACCTTTTGTTGTATTGAACCCGCCATTACAACAAATTTAACACCTCGAAACTAACTTGGCAATTGATTCCAAGAAATCCAACACCCAAGAATCGAATTTATGGTGTAGCAAATTTGATAATAATTTAATGAAATCAAAAGAAAGTAAAAGTGGAAAACTACAAATCATAATCAAAGCACCATAAATATACAATATACGTAGTTAACCTAAAATCGAGCTACATCAACCGGCAAGGAAATGATTCTCTATCAATGGAAGAATTACAAGTTTTGGATTTTCTCATACAATGGTAAAGAAAGGTCAAATTGATATTTTCTATTATAATAATACCACCGATCAACTTCTTTCTTCGTCACCGTTGACCATCACAATCGCCTCGAAGAAACACCGATGAAATCCGGCCCAATACAAAGCTATTATAAAGCTGGGTTTGTCAAAACCCCCGATCTCTATTCTTTCCCCAAAACTCCTTTTTCTCCTCTTCACAAAGAGCTCTCTTATCACGTTATGCATTCTCTCTCTCTCTACAAGGACTTTTAAATGCCCAATAAAGTTATTTTTCATTGGGCCAAAATTGCCCTTAGCTTTTAGAGGAATATCATAGGTTAAATGGGAGGTGATTTTACATGACGATCTCAATAATCTTCACCTTGATATAAAATCACATCTTCATATTGCCATCCAAATCCGATCATTCATTTCTTGAAGTACTTAGAGAACTTAGCCAATGTTGTAAGCACTCTAACCCAATAACTGCCATGAACATGTCTTGCTCATCTTCCTTCATATTTGTGCTTCTCATGTAAACTCCACCTTCTTCAATACTTTCATCTTAGAGTTATTGTGCCCATCTTGCCTTCACATATGCTTTAGGTGAAAAAATTTCTACCCCTTTACGAGCACAACTGGTGCATAATCTCATGTCATCGAGATCCCTTACATAGGTCTCTCCCACGAAGTCTTACATATGCTCAAAAACCTTGGCAATACTTGCCCATGTTTCTTAAATTTTAAAGTATCAATTTCACTTCATTCCAACAATCGCTTCTTAACACAAGCCAATCAAGGAAGAAATAAACAAGTAAAATGACAAATTTTGTACTAATCATGGTAATAGTCAAGATGAACATTAGATTAGCATGCATAACTTTAATCACATCGGCCTTTCCTTCACCAAATTTTGAGCATTGGCTCGAAGGAATTTCATGAGGGGTTTTCGGCTTCACATCCCCTTGTGAAAGTCCCAAATCTTCAATTTCTCCACCCTACCAAATATATTTATTCACGACTTTGTTTCAAGTCACCACGATCTTTAATTGTCAAACCATGTGCACCTTGTCGAACTTCTTCTTCTTCTATAATTTACTTTTTCATTTATAATTGTGCTCCCCAATAATTTATACAAGTTTTTTCCTAGACTCTCTTCATCATAACTAGAGCCCCATTTGAAACTTTGAGCACTCCACCTTACCCAGTAAATTTGTAGCCTTCCATATCTAGAGAAAAAAATGAAATCAAGGTCTTCTTTAAATTCGACACATGTCTCACATTTTCAAGTATTCGAATCATCTCATCATACATCCTTATGCGAACTGCGCCTATTCCAATCATTTTACTCATTGAATTATTTATCATTGATATCAAACTGCCCTCACATGGCTCATATGCATTAAACCATGATCTATGCGGGCACATATGATGTGTGGCTCCACTATCAAGTATCCAACTTTGATAGTACATAGGATTACATCCCATTATCAACACCTCATCTTCAATAAACATTTTGAGGAATTTTACATTTTTCTTTGCCAACAATTTTCCTTTATGTGGCCAAGATTTCCACAAAATCAACAACGTTTGCCATAAGACCTCTGGTTGGGCCTTGATCTTGTCGGGTTTTAGCATGGGGACCCGGAAAGGGGACCCAGCCTGAGATCACTCTCTTGAAAACCGTGGTGCGCATGTTGTTCGTGTGGGTGAGGGTAGAGACCAACTAAAGAGAGAGAATTAGAATTAGAGGTGTGAGGCAGGACTTAGCTCACAGATGGGTTTGTGACATGCTAGGGCATGCAGACTGCCCTCTTAAATAATGATACGAAGGCTCCCAACCTATGGCTCGGTCCGACTCTAACTCCTTTGCTATACTCCAGGCCTTATAAACACACGTACATAAGATGACCAGACAAAGGGGTCAGAAGACCTTGGCATGTCCTAAGAAAGATGCATTTAAAAATATTAG